CCTGATATTGTGCTTGAGCTCCTGATCCCAAGTGCTGTGATCCCAGTCTGCACTACCACGCCCAGCTCCACTCTTCTTCCAGCCATGCTCAGCAGGCCTTTTCTTTCTCTCAGTGCCTGGGCATTTCCCCATTAAGCCTTAGCCCATTCTCTGTGAAAGGTTTAGGCATTATGCTGGCCTGCCTCTGTTACCTTGCAGAATCCACTCAGGCAGTACCCTGGTCAGCCCAGGGTTCCATGGGAACTAAGTCTGCACACAGGTGCAAAGGACCCCTTTAAAAGACAGGCCCCGCCCATTTATGCTCTCCTTTCCACTCCTCCCCTCCCCTCTCCTCTCCTCTCTTCTCTTCTCTTCTCCCACCTATGCTCTCTCTCTCTCTATGGCGACCAGCCATGGCCATCAGCCATTAACCCTGTTCCTCTTTTCTCTTCGTCTCCCTACTTTGCCGGGCCTATAATAAACTGGCTAATATGTCTAATATGTCTCTTAGTCTCATGTCTCATCTTGTGTCTCATCCTGCCTTTTCTTTTATTTCTAATTTAAGCAAAAGAATAACACTCTGCCTCGTCTTCTCCCAGTCTCTACAGCACTTTACACTTCTCCAGTCCATGGGCCTCAGCTCTTGTTTTCTTGGAATTTTCAGCTTTATTCAGTTGTGTGTGCCTCTGGAAACCCACAAGCTGCCTGCTCTATGGTCCTCCTTGGTGCTGCTCTGGTCCCTATTCTTCCCAAAGGAGAAGACTTTATGGAGTGAGGGAATGTCTCATAGCAGACATCTCCCAATGCAGTGAAATCTGTGATCTTAGCACTTGGGAGGCTGAGGCAGGAGGATCATGAGTTTGAGACTGCCCTGGACTGCAGCACAGGCCTTTTCTGATGTCCATTCAGCAACATCTAGCAACACCTAGGGTTTTCCCAGGAAACTGGCAAGCAACCACTGTGTCTCGTCAATCTATCCAGTGCTCCATTTGAACTTCAAACAGTGACTTCGGTAAAGGTTTTAGGCCCCAGCATCTGGCTACTTCTTTTCCAATGCCTGCTCTCTGATCAGCAAGGTGGCACCTTCTGGAATCTGGGATGGCCCATCCAGTTTTCCCGAAGCTGGTGGAGGTGGGCTTCCTCTCCCCAGGGTACCCCTCCCTCATGCTAATAAGGCTTTGCACCCTGTTTCTCAAATTCGGGTGTTCGCTCACACTGGTCCCTGAAGATGCTGGTGTCAGTACCCTGGAGTGCAGATGATGAGGTGGGCTGTCACTCAGAGTGTGGCAGTCTGAACAAAGCTCCCTTCTGCTTGGGCTCACTGTCTACTCTAAGGTTCTACAGCCAGGTCACCTAATGTGAGTGAGCTCCACAAGAGGTGAAAGCTAGGAGAGCAGGGTGAGATCTTGGCATAACTCCTAACCCCATGACTCATGGTCATCTCCAGATCCTGGCTTTTGCCACCTCTACCATGTCTGGTGGTCTAGAATTCAAATTCTGAAAGTTAACTACTCCTTCCCCCAGTCACTCCTTTCACCAAGGGCGCCACACTGGCTTCCTCTTTCTGTGTTAGCTACTCATATTCACCATCAAAATTCCTCACTTGTGATTTGTACTCCCTCCCCAGAGGCTCAGGGACACTATTTATCTTTCATTTCTATATTCCTTCTGTAAATACCCAGAAAAGAGAGGAAATACTGCTCTGGGGGAAGCCATCTTGTATAGAAATAGATAACACGAAACACACTGTAGTCATTCCAACCAGGAACAAAGTCTGGCAGAGATCCCACAGTCAAAGTGATTGGCAACAAGAAAGCCTTTGTTACCATAGGAAGCTTTCCAGAAAGAAGAGGAGTGGACATATTTTAAAGGTGCTGCTGTCAGACAAAATGTCACTCCTTTAAATAGACATTTCAGGTGACGCATGTAGAACACACCCTCTCATCTTGCAGGGAGTTATACAGTCAGCAAGCGCCAGTGCACCACACTGGTCCAGGAATGGGGAAGGTGCCAGCAGGATGCTGAGTAGCTTCTTTACCATGGGAAACATCTGTTTCACGGTCACTGAGGAGTATAATGGTCTTGTTGGGTATGTTGCTGGGGGCTGGGCTTTCATTATAGATGAGGGAGACAATCTGAACCATTCATGGAACGTCTACTGAGGACACAGCCCACCTCAGGATTCCCCTCCCTACTGTTGGTATACACAGCCTCAAAGGGAATTGCTCCAAATGTTTGAGTGAGTGAACAGATGTTCTCACAAACCCACTAGCAATGCTCTAAGGAGCTGCAAGTCTGGTTTTAAACATCCACGTGGACAAATTCAAAATTAAAAAGGGCAGCCAAGGTTAGTGCCTCAGAAACTCAGTGTGAGAGTCGTCCAGAGGACAAGGTAGCTTACAGAGCCAAACCAGTCATGTTTATCAAATGAATGATTCCTTAGCAATGTTTTATTTTGTGCGTATGTGTATGTGTGTGAGTACATGGATGTCACAGCATTCTTGTAGAAGCTGGTTCTCTCTTTCCACCAATCATATGCATTCCAGGGACAGAACTCAGTTTTTAGTCTTGGTGGCAAGTGCCTTTGCCTATTGAGCCATTTTCTCATTCCAACCATTGTTTTTAACTCTGTCTCTGAGAACTGATATCGTCTGACATGTCTGAAGATAATGACATGCCTTTATCAGTGAAGATGCAGGTTACTTACTGTTTTCACAGCTCCAGAGCTACTCATGAGTTATTAGCAAATAATCGGGTACTTCCGCTTACACTGCTTTAGCAGAGAGCAGGGTGCTGGCTGCTGTGACAAAATCGAGAAAACCCACTTACAAAGAAGAGAGGTTTACTTCAGGCAATGGCTCCTGACTTCAGTTCATGACTGCTTGGATCCCTCGTGTTACAGTCTACAGGGAGCCTGAACATCAAGGTTGGAATGTGTCAGATGATAGCTTATTAGCTCATAGCAGCCTAGGAAGTGAAAGGGAGACAGGAAGGTACCAGGGTTCTAGTGTCCCTTCAAGGACATTCCCCCAGTGGCCCAACTTCTTCCTTTAGTCTGCATTCCCAAAGGTCCACCTCCCCACAGCTTTATAGGCTGCTAAGTAAGCCTAAGTATAGGACCTTTGGGATCATTTGATATCCAAAGGATAACTTTCTGAGCCACTCTGGAGGAAGATAGCAATGTCTGTGCCTGATCGAAAAGCCATGTGACAGACAGAGGTGACTATAGTCAGAAACCCTCAGGGGATATCTAGGCTGGTCATGCCAAGTCCTAGTCTTCATGCCTGCCTCTTTGTGGCTTGCTACTTTCTTATCTCAAGGGACTATGATGCCTTAGGGGTTTAGGTCTGTAACACTAGCCAGCCTTGCTTCACTCTGCAGTAAGAGTGGGTTAGGGTGCAGCTCCCTGCTGCTATCCCTGATGAACTGGGAGGTGAAGCTTATGTTTTAAAGGAGGTATCCATTTGTTCTCGGGGATGATCATCCCAAATAGGATAGACACATACCATGTGGCTGTCATCTCCTCCCTCAGACATCACAAATTAGTCTCTCATGACATCACCAGCTAATCCCTCATGACGTTTGTTTTCACTGAGCCTGGACTTGGCCTAGAATCCCACTCACTTTCAGCCTCATGGATAGCAACTTCTCTCAAAGTGAGGCTGATCTCTTGAACCCTGTTTTATTATTTTTTTGCTTACTAATTATTATCAATTATTATTATTATTATTAGAAAGTATGTTGTGCTCATAGTAGGTATGTTGCATAATTGGAAGCCAGAGATTGACACATCCTCAATCACTTTCCACCTTATTTTTGAAACTTGCTCTGTAGACCAGGCTGGCCCCAAACTCATAGATCCTCCTGCCTCTGACTCCTGAGTGCTGGGATTAAAGGTGTGCACCACCATCGCCCAACTTATTTCCCTTTCTTAAGGAGATCTGTTTGTAACCCTTGGTCCCTTATTCTATATCTAACCTCCGTGGTTCTACAGATTGTAGCTTGGTTATCATTGTCTTAACAGCTAATATCCCCTCATAAATAAATTAATACCATAGCTCTCTTTCTGGATCACTCTGGATGATTTTTTTTCTAGTTCCACTCATTTGCCTGGAGTAATAGGTTATGGAATCTCATTGGGGACAAATTCATGAGATGGGTATTGATCCTCTAAAAATGGGAACTAGACTTGCTCAGAACTAGAAAGTGATATCACAGTTTGGACACCTTAGTCATCAACAGATATGGGAAATTGAGTTCCCACTGTGGCACCTGTCTGAGAGGCACAGGGGTTGGGGGCTTGGCACAGGAAGCTTCAAGGCACTAACATGTTTTAGACAGCCTGCACCAGGATCACCTTCATCTTAGAAGAAGGTTGGGGGCCTCAGCTTTTCAGGTGACAGCAGTCAAGACAGCATATGTTCCTGAGCTGTGCAGGAGTCAGTGGGCTATATAAGACACTGCCAAACAAAACCATTACCTCTACCTATGACTGCCAGGACTGTCATCTCTGCCAGAGAGTGGCGCACACGCGCACATACACACACACACACACACACACACACACACACACACACACACACACGCGTGCGCGCGCGTAAAAACCACTTGTGCTTGGGATCAACAAATTGGGCTCTAAGGACTTGTATTTTGTATGTCTTTGGCTCTCTGAATAACCCCAATCCGAGATATTGGAAAATTGGATCTTGGGATTGTTTGACCATTTTTATAAACTTATAAACAGCATAGATTCAGTTATGTGCTAGGTACCATAAACAGCTCACAGCTTACTGTTCTTTTATGGGCAATGGGAGGTGGGTTACAGGTCAACACAGAGAACTCCCCACCTCCCCATGAACTTTAGTCTTTGCAAGATGATGTGGTGAGCACAGCCTCACTCATGAGTAGTGTCCCTGGTCCTGCAGTCTGCCACGCACTGATCACACTCATTTTGTTCTGTGTGTGCTCCTGCCCGCAGACCTCAGCAACCACCTGAGACAGATGGAGTGACAGCCACTCACCCTCACACTTGAGCAGGAAGTAGTCCATGTTATGGCTGAAGGAGGCACTGAAGTAGGTGCAGTTCTCCACTAGGTCGCAGGACAGACACTGCCTGTTGAAGTCATCGACTGTGTTGGCGCTGGAAGAGCAAAAAGCCAGTGAGAACAGAGGCAGGAATCAGTGATCATGGACATCGAGTCTGAGTTCCCCAGCAAGGACCTCTCCTCCGAGGCTACCTTGTCACTCCTGCTGCTAATGCCTTAGGCTTTACTCCCACCAACATCTCTTTCCTGGAAGCCTTTCCAGCCCACACCTCCTCCAGACTCTGGAGACCTCTCAGTCCTTCCAGCCCTGGGTGGCAGCTATTTGACCACCTGTGAAACTGCAGGCTAGGTGTGACCAGGGTGTGGAGACCACAGTTATAGATGCCATTGCCTAGTCTGGTCATGGGTACTATCACATGGTCGTGGATACCATTCATTATCTGGTGGGGGTCATGGTTACTCTCAACTGGTGCTGTCAAGGGTCCCCTCACCTGGTAATGTTGTGGGCACTATCACCTAATGAAGTCATGCGTGCCATCACTTTGAGTAACCATGGGTGCCTACAGTGGTCATGGGCATGATCACAGGGAACTTTCTACCCAAGTGAGTGACTCTCTGAACAGGCAATTGGCAATCTGTGAACAGAGGAGAGTTCCATATTCCTTGAGTGCCAAGTACATTAGGAAGGAGCTCTATGAATGTCAAGGAACTAGTATCGACTTCTTCCAGAACCCAGTTCTCCTGACAGCAGAAGGGGGGTGATGCAACTTCTTGCTTGGGGATGAGGGGAGTGAGAGAAATCAACTATAGATTCCACATGGGACCGCCATGGTCAGGTTTAATCTAGATCAGAAACTTGCTGTCTTCACGTGGCACTGGGAAAGTTCCTCTCTAAGCACAGCTTCCCGAGAATGGAGATGTCATGGGAGAGAGATGCTATAGGTCACAGGGAAGGGGCAGCAGGCTGCCTTCCTGATTTTTATATAGCGGGTAGCCTGACTTTCATGATCACAGTAGGCCCATAGTGGTGAACAGTCTACAGAGAGAAGTAGGTCCATGATCGCAGGGCCCTGCCCACTCATGCCAGCCTTATACTCAGCATGGAATCCACCGGTGGAGGGAAGACCTCTGTGTGCTGGGGACTTCTCTAGCTTCTCTGGTCCACACTGCCAGCCAGAGGCTCCTTCCAGTGGCCATTGTACATTCAGGCAGCAGGCACCTGCAGCTCTCCTAGTTAAGAAGTGTCCAGAAATGCCCATTGTTCCTCCTCCTCTCTCCCAAACTGGTAGGAACTAAGTTAACCTCAAAACAAAGTCCTCTCCCATGAGATCAGTAAGGGACAGTTAACAAGATGAACTGTTGAGAGGGTGATCTTAGACCTGGTTCCTTTCTGGGTTCCTAGCATATCCATCCATTTCCTATATTATCTGAGGTTGTGGAACTTGGGCCATGACCTCACAGAGCCAGCATGCCACATGGAGGGAGATAGCAAAGCTACCAGCCTCCTCTCCACTCAGTAACTGGTCGATTCTCAAACCAGACACAGCTGTCTTCAAAACACACATGTGAGGGCAATCTGCCAAGGTAACACTTGAATATAGGAGCAAGACAGGCAGAATCCAGAATCCTTCAAGAAGAGAAGAGAATAGAAGACACACACACACATACACACACACACACACACACACACACACACA